TCTGTTTATTCCTACTTAATTGATTTGAATATTGAAGATAGCTATTGAAAGAAAAAAAATATTTGTATAATTTATTTAATCATCACAGAATTCATACATGAAACTGTTTTTAGTCGAATGTATCTAAAATTAAATTTGGATAAACAGAAGGAAATCTGTGAATTACACTAATCTCTTATGCCAATAATTTGGTTCTGGTTAGGAAATCTTGTACTATGAATAATGTGGTTGAGAATTTAGAGTGATCAGCTGCAATTTAATGAACAATTGTATATTTAAAAATACTTTTAAATTTTACAAATCCTCAACTATGATTAATTTTTTAATTCTAGAAATTTTTGGGAAGATTTTGAGAGAAAAGTGCTCTAATATATACTGTAGTTGCTTGAATCTAGGTTGAGGTATTTTTCTGAAATTTTCTCACATAAAATTAGCATTTGAACAATATTCAGGGTCGGCAATATACGAATGTGAATTCGGATTCAATATATGACAATTGGACTTCAACCAAACCTAAGTCACTTCATGGTTTACTTTTGATATGGAGAACATCACGTGTACTTTAATCGGGAATCTCAATATGGTTTTCCAAGATATTAGTAGCTTACAAGAGGCTGACTATGAACAGCCATATATCTAAATTTTGCCACTGTCCCTGAACCCAAGGAAGTAGTGGAAAGAGCAATGCCAAATTGGCCCCAAAGTGATCTGCTATGGAGCTCTTGGTGGAGTGCTACTGCAACATGGAGACTGATCCATAGCAATGTGAGGATTGGTGAACCTCTCCAGGTTATATATGCTTTCGCAACAATAAGAAGACTACATTCTGCGGCCTAAGATGGTCTATAGTCTCAGCTGCTAAAAAACAAAAAAGTAGGAACATTAAATAGTTTATATAGCATTGTGTTAACAATAAGTTATCACTTGTTAACTGATTATCAAACATTTTGGAGTATGGTTGAAAACAGAATCAGGGATAAACCATATGTTGGTTCAAAGGAAATGGTATGTTAAACTGAAAGAGTACATGGCATAAATGGTACTTAGAATTGAGAATATTAACTTAATTAGAGGGAATGGGGTGGCCGAGCAGGCTAACGCATGTTCACAACACCGTGCGTTGAACGGCAACCTGATAACTGATGTTAAACATAAAAAAACAATTACGAGTTGAAATCCTGGTGCCCGATGGAACTTTTAACTTGGCAGAATTCATCCGCCCTCTCCCACGGTCTGGGAAAAACCCCATGTAGTCTAAAAGCAAGGAAGGGGAGACCAAAAACTAACCTAGTTAAGTGAATTCAAGAAAAAGTAAAGGTAAATTGAAAATAGTCAAGTAAGAACTTAGTATACTAAAATAAATTATTTTAAATTTAAACCATTCCACAATTTGAAAAATTATTAATATAAATCATTTCACAGAAATCGACATATCAATAACTTGTTTGCATTCAACTGGTTATCAGCCAATTTCTTTAAAAGTTTGAAAACACAATTCTATAATTTCAATTTAGGTACCTCTGCTCTAAATTCAAAGCTCTATCCCAATTATTTTAAGATGGTATTTATTTATGTTGTACTAAATTTATATATATATAATAAATTTATATAAATTTATATAAATTTATATATATATATATATATATATATATATATATATATATATATATATATATATATATATATATATATATATATAAAGATTAATTTTTAGTTATTTCTATTAAATTTGTAAATTTATTTCATATAAATAGTTTAATTTTTCTTCTCCCCTATCTTAGCCCTGAAAATTATTTTGAAAATGGAGGGTTCGACTTATATTCATGGTTGACCTACATTCAAGCAAATACGGGTATATGATAGTATCGGCAACAATGATATTAAGAGAAGACAATTGGGAAGCTTAAGCCATTATTTATAAGGATATTGGTACTTGTATCTTTATTAAGGATTAACAACACCAGCAGAGTTTGGAGAAGGCTAAATGATGGTGTAACTGAAAGGGGTCCACACTTAAAAATGAGTATACTTTGACCAGTTAGTGAAGGCTGTCACCCACTCCTTTACTCTTCCACTTTATTCTTATTCCCCCACTCTTCCTCTGCTCAGCCTTCAATAACTAGTCAAAGTATAATAATAATGTGATAAATAGGAAGGTCAAAGTTGAAAAATTCCTTCTTCCTACTGAATTCAGGAGAAAATCATCAGGATTACGCATACATTTTGAAATTATTTAATTTGGCCATTTACTATTTCAGTTAATTCTACTACAATGTTAATAATACAAAATTTGCTATCTCTAATTATTAGTTAATTTTTTCTATTTCTGAAGTAATTACCCTTTATCAGCAGGATGAGCAGTTTTTTTTTAACTTCATATTTTTGATAATAACTACTTAGAATCTTTGTTACCTTTTTTTTTTTATTCTAGTTAACTTTTCATCTTAAATACATAAAAATATTTAAGAAATAAAACATTAAGAACTTATATATATATTTTTACATAATTACAATGGCTTAGTAATTATTTAAATTAACACAGGAGTAACCCCATAGCACTTTACACCATCAAAATTCTATTTATTATCTAAAAATAGTCAATTTTATTCAAAATAGCATCAACAATTATTTCTATATTCTTCATAATTATTTCTGTTGTCCTATTACTGTTATATGTTTTCAATACATTAATTGATATTATTATTATGTTTGTAAGATACTACAGAAGAATCTTAATGCACTTTATGAGATTAAGGTTGAAAACCATTTTAAATGGAAAGAGGCACCTTGCAGCAATATTAAAATTGCTTATATTTAACATTGCTTATATTTAGATACAAGTAGAGTTAATCAGCATTGATAATAACTTAAACATTTCCTAAAAACATTATTTTTAAAACATCATATATTGTTACTTTATATACATGAAAGTCGACTGACTTTTACATGAAACAATCTTATTGCAATTATTTTATTTTTATTGTTTCTATTAGTTAATGTTTTCTAGTTTCAATGCTTTCAAAGGTTCATAAATTATTATGAGAATAATTAAACGGATAACATTATTGTTAAGAATTTTATTTTTAAAATAAAATAAAACATTTGACCCAAAGCACACTTCAATAATTATTGCTTAGATAACTGATCCAAGTAAATCATAATTTAAATTTAGTAAAACACCAAAATGAAAATAATGGCATTTACACTTCTTAGTTAATGTAAATACTTCTTTTAATTAAAAACAAATAACTTGTGCTATTTTTCAATGCTACCAATAATGTTATCCTTGCTAAAGTAAATTACTGATTGTAAAATCTACACAAGATGTGATGTTTAATTGAACTCCTGTATTTTCAAGGATTGGTGACAGTTCTATCAACAGTTTCAATAATATTATCTTGCAACAATGATAGGTTAGTAATGTTTATACTCATGTTCGTGGGGCTTGAATGCCTTTGCTCTTTTCTGAAGAATGATAAGAAAAATTTCCTAATTATACAAATGTTTTATACAAATTAATGTTTAGGTTTTATTTAAGGAATAATTTAAAAACCAAATTAATTTTCAAATCATGAGTTTTATTGAATTTAATATAAATATAATGTTACTCTTCAAAACCATTTGTTTAAGTTTGAAAAGTAGTTTAACAAATGAGCAAAATTAAAAGACTCACATTAGGTTTTCCTAAGTAAAAGCTTCATTGGCTAAACATTCATACAAAATTTAAAAAACAAAAACCGATTATACAACAAAGCCAACTGTCACATCTATACAATAGATCCTCGCTTAGCGTTAAAAAACATGACTAATGTTTACCATCACACTTCTACTTCATTAGATATATGTTGCATGAACTTTGGGGTTCAGGAATTCTTCTAAAAATTGTAAAGTTACCATGGTTTGTTTAGACTCATACCATACAATATGATCATTCCAACAAATTACACAATTATAAGGAAAAAATGTGATGTCATCAATTTCATTTATAGTCTTTTTTATAATTTAACTGACATCAAAAGACCTTACGATCTTATTGATAGAATTATCATACTATCACCAACCCTAGTATTTTCTGCTAAGCTAATTTTTATTTTATAGGATGATAATGATTGTATTAAACTTCTATCTAATATTATTTGTGACATGTTGACAGAAATTTATGATTATCTTCACTCATTAATTATAACCCCACGTAATATCTTGACTTTTATAACAGCAAAAATAATTTCTATCAATATGGCAAGTATACATCATGCTGTATGTATATCGGAACATTAATCGAGCTTTTTAACCAAACTATAAATTTACTTTGAAGTAAACAATTATTTTTAAGCATATAAAAATGCACTAGATTTAATTAAATTAATTAGAATAATTTACAATTATTTATTGTAAATATTAAAACATTTATTAATAAGATTTCTATAATTAATTTTTTACTGAATTTCAATCAGTACGATTCAGATAAAATATAAACGACGAAGAATGGCGTTCCGAAATAGAATGTAGCAATAAACAAGATAATACTCATAGAAACAGTTTATACTACTACATCTAGCTGTTTACTCACTGCTATAAAAAGTATTTTATTTTTATTCTTAAATTAAATTTTAAAATTACTTCATACTGTTCAAAAAGTTCAAGTTAAGATTGACAGTAGTGTAACTCATTTTCTAGTTTCAGTCGTTCTAAAAACACATTATTTGGTGAGCAACTGACACTATCGTAAAACTTGGTCTGCTATTGAACAATTAAAAACCAGTCATTAAAAAAAATAAATGTAAAATAACTTGTAGCAAACTCTATATAAAATTTAACAAAACTGTCAGATTAAAACTGATATAGGATTACAAATATATCACAATATTTTTTCCTTTCTTTTAACTTTATAAAAAAAAAAATTGATTATATAGAAAGTTTTTAAAATTAAGTTCGAAAGAAACAAGTTTGATATTTTATACATTTCTATCTTCAATATATTATTAAATTTAAAGTAGGCAAGAGAATCCAGGTGGTCTCAGTTAATCTACAATTATATTAAATTAGAATGTATTATCTTGATCTGGTGCAAGGAGTGGAGAGCTTTCAAAAGAAGAAGCTGGAGCCAACTGTGTCGAAGGTGTAGTAGGTGCGGACCTGCTTAACCAACCTTTTCCCAAATATTTGCTTCTTCCGTTCCCCTAGAAATAGATAAATTGTCTGTTCCATAATGATATAAGAAATACTATATGATATAATTATATGTTTATAAAGTTATCTAATATTATATGGATCAATCCATTTAAAATCACACAGACCATGCTGCTCGGCATTTTTAATTTTTATAAATTTTTTACCAGTAAGTTTCCCAATTAATTGCGAGTTCAAAACTATTATAAAATGAAGAAATTTTCAAGGCTCATACTTTTTTCTTGGTGACCATTATGAATTTTGCTTTTTGACTGAAAACATATTTCAGAAACTGTCCCTAACTCTCGTAATTTTATAGATATAAAATCGAAATAAAAATGAAAATACTGTCGATGATTTTTTCTACATTATTTGTTCGTTTTGTGGTATTCAACTTCAAAAATCGCCAAAAACGACTTTTGACCATTTTTTGAAAATTCATATTTGTAAAAAAAATTTAAGATTGGAATTTTTTCAGCATTTAGTACTGATAGATCTATACAAGAAAAAAAATCAAAGGTAAGTCTTTCATTAAAGCACTTTTTAACCAGTTTGCTTCTTTACTAGGTGAAGTTTTGAAAGAAAAAATGAAAAAAAATCACCATTATGATTATTTATTTATTTTTTTTGTTTATTATTATATGGCTCTACAATCACATTTTCATTCTTAGCCCACTCCAGGATTGACCGACAGTCATTTGTGTTTTGTGCTGCTCCCTTCCAGTTGCGAATGTCAAGTATCGATAATGCATCGGTAGCAACGCAAGTCTTCACATCGGAGCCTAAGGTGTCCAATCTTTGTTGCTCCAAATAGCTTTTCCAATACGACTTTAGATGGGATTCCCTCTAGATTCATCCTAGCGACATGGCATGCTCATCACAATTGAGAAAATTTAATCACAACGACCACGTCTAAATCCTTGTATAGATTTCTCAGTTTCAGGTTTGTCCTTCTTCTCCAGTCTCGATTAACATATGTGGCCCCATAAATTCTCCTCAAGATCTTTTGTTCAAACCTGGAGTTTCAGTTCTTGATTTCTAGTGAGTATTCCAGGTTTCGGAGCCATATGTTAAAATAATTCGAATCAAAGTTTTGTATATTTTGACATTTGTGTTTCTAGCTTCTTTTGAAGTGCAAAAGAACATCTATTAGCAGCCAGAATACGTCTATCTATCTCTACCTCAATGTCATTCCAGGAATTCATTTGGGAGCGTAAGTAGATAAATCCTCTTAAAACTTCTTTCCTGTGTGAATCCAACTGATCAAAAGCTTCCCGGATATCATGCTTTGGGTTTACTCACATGCACTTAGTTTTATCTGAGTTTATTATGAGTCCCATATGTGTTTCTGCTACTTCCAGATCATCTGCATATCCAATTTATTTTGGTTTGATATTTTAAAAATAACCCAAGCTAGAAACATTTTCCCAAATCATGTTCCCAAACAACTTCAAAATGGCCATCAAGAAAAAGGCATGAGCTTAAATTTTTTTAAAGTACAGTTTTGAAGTCATCATTAAATAGGAAATAACTGGTAAAACATTTATAAAAATCAAAAATGTCAAGCAACAAAATTAATTTAAATGGATTAATCCACACTAAAAAAATCTTAAAATTCAATGTTCTTGCTAACCTAGACTCAACAATTCTTTTTACTTTAAATTATAAACGACATACATATTTAGAAATAAGGCAACATCATCAGAGTATAAAACAGTACACAATATTATTTATTACAAATAGAAATATTTTTTATATGTACATATTTGTTCAAAAAACTTTTTAACTATTTATATTTTTCTTATCAGGCTCTCAAAAGTCCATACTCTTTAGTTTTTGTTCCTCTGCTTCTCTCCCTCGGCAGGGCTTGTTACGATGAAAGGATGTCTATACCATCGGGGGTAATAAATATTATTCTGAAAGGGTGTCAAACATTGTTCTCAGTATACATTCTAGGCAAATAATTTTTAAATTTGTTTTTTCTGGGTGCTTTAATGATCTTGTAGAATTCCATAGGGATGAGGAATGAATAATGAAAGATCTGTTGAAAGAAGCGATTTGGTAGGTCCTTGTATATAAATCTAAAGACCCGAAACGGGTTTTATGGGTGTTGGCAGAAGATTTGAAATATATACTTTAATTAAAAATTGTTAAAAATTATGAAATAAATTAATGTAACAGTTAAAAAGCAAGCTAATCTAGTTTCACTAGTTCAGGGAAAAGAAAATATCTGCTCTGTAGTTTTCTCAGAAAGGAAAATCCCAAAGAGGAGAGGGGATGGACAAATGATTTTGTTTTGGCAAGCAGTTGGTGTTTGGCTGGGGTGAAGAAAGGATGGGAGAAAGGATCCTGACTCCAGTGGGTAAAACATAGGAACAGTATTTACCATCTTGGAAGTTGTTGTTTGACACAGTCACTAGTGGTTTGGAATCACAAGAGAGAGGATCTCCCAGGGAGCTTGAGTTGAGTAGAAGAAAGTGTCACTATTTTGGAAGATATGTTTGGCAGAACATAGGAAAATGTTAGAAAACAAATGATTTAGTGCAACAAAAGAAGAAACAGTATGTATAGAAAAAAGGTTAGCTTGCCAATTTATACTTGACTTTATTTTTAAATCGAACAGTGTTTAGTCTAGTTAATGTTAGTTTGATCTGATTGTCAGTAACCCACACCTGAGATAAAATAATTATATATTTCAATTTAATATATTAATACTCTTATATTTTTTTTTATTATTTACTACCTCTTATTTCTTTTGGGAGTATCCCAACAGTACAAAGTGATCTTCTAAGGCATTATTACTAGTTTAAATTATAAGAGAAATGTTATAATAATGTCGTGTAAAAAGTTCTTTATTGGTATTTCTTCTCTATGCATTAATGCTCTGATCCTATACAGTCCTATATGCACCTGTTACATGCTATTCTGTGAGATAGTTGATCATTTAGTGAGTTATTTGAAGTGATCTATTCTCGAAGAGAATATTCTATCTATGCAGATCCTGTTATTAGAATGGGCGTTTGACTTACTACCAAATATTTGGTTTCATTTTAATTTTTCTGTAGACTCATTTCATCTTCTAATTCTCTTATTAAAGTTTTAGGAAATCACTCAATGTCCTCTTCATCGCTTCCAAGGGCAGCTATGTTATTTGTATATACAAAGGTTTTATTATTCATTCCAACGTGTATCCCTCCATTTTCCAGTGGTAAATTGAACAGTATTAGTGAGAGCGCTTCTCTCTGACTAAAACCTGTTTGTACTTTGAAGGCTTCAGATACTTGCACCAGGACTTGATCTTTATGATAACTTATAAATGCTTCTATCAATCTCACCAATAACCCTAGAAATTTCCACCTCAATCATAATCTTTAAAGACAGTTTCTGTCCGCAGAATCATAGGTTAGGTTGCTTTTAAATCAACAAATAAGGTTTGTAAATCCTGTGCTACTTCCCATTGTTTTCCGAACACCTTTTCTAATAAAGAACTGGTCTGGCATGCTTCTTCGACTTTCCACTCAGCCCAGATCAATGAGCTTATGCACGTTATCTCACTCTCCAACGTTATTCGTTCTTTTAACGAAGTCCTCCTGAATGACATGGTACATTTGTGAAAACATATTTCCAGGTATGAAGTTTCCTGTTGCTCGTTTTTTATTAATATTACTTATGCTTGCTGAGTCAAGTATTTTATAGAAGCTGATCCTTCTATTGTATTTTCTCATTCATCCTAACTAAATCCATTCCATTCATATTAACAAAAAGATCGAGATTACATTTTTGGTATCCCTTGTGGAAAAATCACAATATATTCGGCTTTACAGGATAATGGTCATTATCTTTCTTAATCTTTAGATAATAAATTATATAAGAAAACTTTGATGTGCATTTCACTAGGTGAATAATTTGTTGATAAAATCAGTAGTTAAAGGTATAAAATGAAAACTATTAAAACTATTTTTAATTTATTAATAACTTTTGTTCTTAATTTAAAATTAATAAAAATAAGATAAATAAATTACATGGTGTAAGAGCTTGCCAAGTGTCGGCGTAGTGGCTTGAGGAGGAGAATCGAGGGGTGCTATCGTCACGGAACTAACGTTGGAGAGACCACACAGCGAAGGCCTGGCTTGCCGTCGCTCACTCTCCAATCTCACCATGCAAGAATCGGCATCCTTAGGACAGGAAAATATCTACACCATGTATACGATGCTACATTATCAAGCACTAATTTTATGTTAATACTGATATATCTAGTTTTCTGTGGTTTTATTTAAATGATTAAGGTGTCAGATGAAAAATTAGGAGTCACTTTAAAAAAAATTGAGGTTTTGTTATCAAGGGATTGAAAATGAAAAAAATCATCCTGCAAAGAGTTAAAATACTAATGTTTGTTTTTCATTCTAACAATTTGAAAGGATGCACCTTTTAATTCTGAATTGTTTTATTCCAATAAATATTCTTTTTTAAAATATGACACAAATTTCATATTTAATATCACAGAATTGTCCTAAACATGAGAATGACGCCTGGAAACGTAAATATTTTAATATTTAGGAAGGAAATCTAGTGTCCAAAAAATGTAATTAAACCTTACTGAAAAAGCCTTTCCGTAAAATTCAAAAGAGATATTTGTATTACTTAGACAAATTTCTAAAGAGTGAGTATGCACAGAGCAATTCTTAAGGTACATAATTTTTAAAAATATTAGATTTAAAGATCTATTCCTGAAGATGAGGAATGAATTCTTAAAATTCTGAAAAAGCTATATTTAATTTAAAAACTATAATGAATGAATGAATGAACAAAGCATTTAATTGACAAAATAATTATTAAGGAAGAAAATATTTAAAAAATAACTTATATAATGAAAATAATTTACTAAAATTAATTATTAAAAAAGTTACTATTAAACAAGAGCTTAAACTATTACATGTATTTTACCTCGTGGCTGGGTGCAGTTTGTGCGTTAATTTGTTCAACACTACCAGGGGCACTTGAGTAAGGCGGAGGTATTAAACTGTTGGCCTGTAAATGATAAAATATTTTGAAATGAAATGAAAAATATTTTTATTCTGGGACTTTAGTCCCCTAAAAATAATGACAAGGTTCAAGAAACATTTACATTAGTGTGGCATGTAGAAATGAACGAAATACGCAAAAAATATAACAAAAAATAAAATGGTACTTGTCAATCAATTGTTGATAAGAAATTTTAATTAGAAAATTCTTATATGATTGCAGTAGATTGAATATGGAGGTGGTGGAATAGGAGTTGTTAAAAGGAATTTGTAGATGAGGATTGACATATGGCGATAGGGAAGGAGTTCCAAAACGAGGTAGTATGAATGACGAAGGATGTTCTGCATGAAGTGGTTTTATGGGAAGGGATATATAGAAGTGTGGGTTGGGATCTGGTATTAAGTGAGTGAATAGAGTAAGAAGTTATAGAATGTAGAAAGGATATTTGGTTCTGAGGACTTGAAATAGGAAAACACTAAGAAGAAACTACTGTCAGAAAGTAGCGTAGAGCCACTTTAACTCGATGTACCTGCAGGAGACATGAGAACACCTGGGTATCCCAAAGATGAATCTGATAAAGTAACAAAAAGACGGATAAAGTAATCTCTCTTCAGTCCCGCCACCAGCCCTGCAGACAACCTTCCATACACCAGGCAATGATAGTTGTTATGGAGGAAAATGAGGAAAGTTACAAGGAGCTGTCTGGTTTTTAGAGGAATAAAATTATGGAATCTAGTGAGTTGTTTAAGGATAGTTATGGATTTTCGGGTAATTTGGGAAATATGACTGTTCCAGAACAGCTTCTGATCAAAGGTAACCCCTAAGGTTTTTGACTGCGAGGAAATAGATGTGGCAGATATTGAAGTAAAGTAAAGGAGAGTAAGAAAGGGAGTTAATAAGATGCCTGAAACCAGTGAGAATAGCCTCAGTTTTATCTACATTCAGCTTTTGAGTAGCCTCAGGCGTCTCTGAAGGTTGGAAGGATTGGTAAATTTGAAAACGGGAGTGATTAATGTAAATAGAGAAAAGGATAGGAGAGAGTGAGGAACACCCCGTGTTAATTGAAGGACGAAAAAGGTGAATTGTTAGGAATAACAACTGTCTGGAAGCGATGGGATCAAAAGGATAGGAATCGGTTTTAGAATGCTATTTGATAGTGAAGTTCGGAAAGGAGGATATAATTCACAGAATCAAAGGCTTTAGAAAAGTCAAAAAGGATTAGGATAGAGATTTTATTTTTATCTATGGATAATTGAAGTTTTTGGGTAATTTTTAACAAGGTAGATTGAGAACAAAAACCGGATTCAGGAGACTGTTTTGCTCTAGAAAATTATTCAGCTGAGAGCTAACAAATCTTTCCAATGGCTTGGATAAAATGGAGATGGGTCTGAAGTCGGAAACTGATGAAGGAGCAGGAACTTTTTTCCAATTTTTGAGAATGCAGGTGTAAAAATGCAGGACATAAGAATGGAAGGCATAGTTTGATTATTTTACCTGGTATTTGGTCAGGAACATGTTCGTTGGTTTGGGATTTAAGGATGGTAAATATCAGGTCTGCTGAATCAGTTTTTATCCCAGTGCTACTATACGGATCGGAGAGCTGGACACACTCTTGGACCGCCATGCCAACAATGTTGTATCTGCACAAATGAGATTCGTACGGAAGATATTAGGAAAAACAAGACGAGATCGAATAAGGAATGAAAGGGTGTGAGATGAACTAGGAGTTAGATCCATCCTAGAGACGATTGAAGAAAGGCAATTCAAGTGGTACAATGTATTTTAACAGAATGGGAGATAACCGTAAGGCAGGTGGCTTCTAGAAGCAAGACGGGGGGAAGGCGACCTCAAGGCAGGCCAAGGCTTATGTATGCATACTTGATAGAGAGAATTGGCGCAGCGAGAGGAAGCACCATGCCGGAGATGAGAAGGCTTGCACAGGACAGGGACCGTTGGACAAGATGGTCAGAGGCAACTACTCCACGCTTAGCAGCACACAGGAGATAAGGAGAGAAGAAGAAGAGAAGAGAAGAAATAGCAGGTCAGTAGGAGAAATATTTTCATAATAACATTGTTATATGCATATATATTATAAATGTCTATTATTAATTTATTTTTTATGTTCGCATTGATTAACTATGTTAGTTTATATTTACCTCATTTGCTGCACTGCAAAATAAGCTTGAGCTCAAAGAGTCGGCTGTGCTTGTTGCCGAAAGAGAACCTGAAATATTGATGAAAATTGGTATTCTAAACAATTGAGAAAATACGATCAAATAAAAAGTAATCATTTGTAGGACAATTGAAATGCATTAATAACATATTAACTATAGGGAACCAGGGAAACTAATTAATAAAATTCATCCATTTTTTCTGGGAAGTTGTATGATATTCTTTGTTGTTTGGCAATGATTACTTCCAATTAACAACAATTGAATTTATTTGTTGTATTATCAAATTGCATGTTTACAAGTTAACGTTTCGGGATAAGATCATTGGGATTGGTGGTTCTGAAGATGGGAGTAAATATCCCGAAGCGTTAACTTGTAAACATGCAATTTGATAATACGACAAATAAATTCAGTTGTTTATTGGAAGTAATCATTGCCAAATAACAAAGAATAACACTCCTTATTTTAAAAAATGTCCTTATATTAACCAACTTACCAACAGGTCTCATTATGTAATTTCTAAAATATTGGACCATCAAGTAATTCCCTCCTGTTTTGCCATTCTCTGAGTAGCTTATCACTAGTGGATACAGGTCAGGCTTTGATGTCACCTGAAATAGGAAAGATATAATAACAATCACAAAATAAATATAATCATCACAAGTAATTACATTATAAAGTATATCTTTTGCTTAAAGAAATCTTGTAATACCTATTTTGTTCAAATATTCATTTATTTTTTGCTTTCCTACCTATACTATGTAAGGAAAGTATTGCAATCAGGTAAAATTTCTGACATGCGATTTTCGATGGATCTATACGTTTCAGAGCCTCCTGAGTCCGAAAAACACACTTTCAGCCATTGGTCTGTCTGTGCCAATATTATCTCGGGAACTAGTGGACCGATTGTGATAATTCTTTTTTTATTTTATAGGGTTTTGACTACTGATGCCTGTGACTCAAATTGGTTGCTCCATGCGCAATAGCGACTGCGAAAAGTGAAAAAAATATTTTTCTCTGGACTGTAAAACTAAAACAGCTCTAACGATTTTGATGCAACTTTCCTATAATTTTTTATTAATCTTCATGTACATGTTCTCGAGAAAATGCAGGAAAAAAAGTTATAAAGAAAAGAAAAAACATACATTTGTACGAAATTGTTCAATTTCAACTCCTTTTTTTTTTTTTTTTTTTTTGAAAATTTTATGAACTTTCAGGAAATTTATGAACTTTCAGATAATTCTATGCAAAAACCACTAAACAGTGAATAGTTGAGTTATTCGAATATCTAATTTTACCATCCATCATTACTTTTTTTCCAGCTTCTTTTCGGTGAAGTACATTATATAGATAAATTTAAAGGGCTTCTAAGGAGGAGAATTTAGCCAACTTAAATCGAAATCGGTACATTCATTTAGGCGCTGCAGTCTTGATGGTACAAGTTTTTCGGCCGCCATCTTGATAGGAAAGTATTTTTTGGTGAAGTATGGTAAATTTAAAGGGCTTCGAGGAGAACACTTTGACCAAGTTTCAATAAAATTGGTACATTATTTTATGCGCTACAGTCTATAGCGACACAGGTTTTTCGGGCGCCATCTTGAAAGGAAAGGGCGGATGGTGATGCCGGGTTCCGAGGATCATCCTCGGCTGACCGTTAACATTGATACCGAATCTCAAAATCATCAGTCAAGTTGTCTCGGAGAAAAGCAGCGGACGGACGGATTTTTTTTTCTATATTCAGATTCTATGTATCTTTGTATCTTGAAACGTAAACCTCAAAAATTTGAGGAAAGTTAACTTTCTTTTTTTCTTGGTTGACTACAAAGGTTGGTTATTGGTACATTTACTAATATATCAGATATCCTCTTGGAAAACCCCTTAATCGTGTTCTAGGAGCTCTAGTATAGACATCATGGACGTAAAAAGCTTGGCGACCGATGTCCTTTTATACAGATCAAAAGTACGTTATTTTCGGCGAAAAAATACGCCTAAAACAAGTTTACATACTGATTTTTTTTCAACAATTATGTGTAACGCTGAAAAGATATAAATATTCGATGATCACGTGACAACAAACAACTATTATCTAATGGAATTTCAATGCCAGACGGCTTACGGAGCTCTCACATGCAAGTCACGTTATTTTGTAATAAGCAGGGATCGAATAATTACATTCCTGTGAACTGTTGTTCATACGATAAGGAAAGATTTTTTGAATATAATAATTCCAAAAACAACACCATAAGTCTCTAAAATACCTGTTAATACCTAGCCAGTTAACGTTTCGCCAGTCAGGAAAGCATAATTATCTAATTAATGAGTTGCCATAATTGTAGCCGAAAAAAATTACGACACAGTGATATACTATTTCTAAACATATATATATATATATATATATATATATATATATATATATATATATATATATATATATATATATATATCAAATATTATTTTAATTTGCTTGTTACATAGAGGAAAATAAGCAAAAGGTTTATTTAGCCTTACAGTGGCATAATATTTTTTATTTTCATCTTTAGTAATTTGATAAGAAATATAAACAACAATCTCGATTGTTTCGGTTGATGAAAGACTTTCGAAAAGTAAAAAAAATAGCAGAGCGCATGTAAAATATTTATAACAAGATATCTATGCACTAAATGGTCCCATTTCAATGATTCTTTTTTTGTTTTTTAGAAAATGTTGTAAACTATTGCTATGTATTGAACATAGCAAGTAACCTTTTTAACTTAAGGGAAAGAAAACAAAGTTAAAATCTGCTGACATCACTAGCGGATCCAGGATTTAATTTTTTGGGGGGGGGACTTCAGCCCGAAGGATTTTGTTTATACACACATATATATATATATATATATATATATATATATAACGATAATTAATTTGAAAAAAAAGAAAGAAACTAACTACTCATATGACATGGTGTTTATTCATTCTTGAAGTCCTATTAAATGTAATTACACTAACAATAAGAGACTGTTTTTAATATTTTTTCCTATAAAACATGGTTATATTTTACCATTTTTGGGAGGGGAGCTTCAGCCCGAAAGCCCCCTCCCTCCCCCACGTAAATCCGCCTGTGGCTGACATCAAAGACAGAGTCAAAAGGTGGAGATGAGGTACTTAAAGACCGAGGGCTCGGAGGAAGGCCTTTACTTAGAGTAACTGGTAACTAGTAATTAACGAGTTAAGTAACTGGTAACTAGTAATTAACGAGTTAAGTAACTGGTTCCCCTTAGGGCGTGGCCAGTTAAAATAATTGTACACCCGCCGAAGTTAAGAACCAATCAAAACCATTCTTTTCTCACCCTGAATATTTGTATAAAATCTCTTGGATAAAAAATCTCGAGGTCTTATGTCTTTTTTCGGCCTTGGGGACTGAAGAGGCAGCTTGGCCTACACAGACCGGGGAGATGGTCGTCTTGACAGAGTTTGGACCTGGGCACTGACCGGACTAGAGGAGATTCCATCAGCAGATGCAGCGATGAACCATAGCTAAGTTTTAATTCTCAAGAATAGATTTACTAATGTTAAAATATTTCATGGCAAAATTCTCAAAACAGTCCATTTGAAATTATATCTTCACAAGGTCATTACTGAATTCATCGAACCATGTTTTTATTTATTGTAAATAGTATTTGTACATCAAGATTTTCACATAATTTGTATATCTTCCCATATTGGACATGTTTTAAATGAATGAAGTAATAAGTTTTTTTAAAACATTCTATTTTAATTCTGCCATCTATTTATATCATGATGATCACAGGTAATGTTGGGTAATTAGAAAGCATGATAATTAATCCTGGACCAATCAATATATTATAGATTCAAATTTCTTTTACTATTTTTTTATTATTTATTTTTATTAAACATTTCTGGATAATTATCCTCAATGGGTGATTATCTAGTGGCATCCCGAGTAATTTCATCCCCAAAAGATAGCATTATAAATGTATATATAAAACATCAATAAAGATCAACAAAAAAGTTTATATTTTTTGTTATCGGAAATTATACCACCCCTCATATATAATTATAGCACCCCTTGTAACTTTTTTTACAGCTTCTTTTCGGTGATGTATGTTACATAGATAAATTTAAATGGATTCGAAGCAGAAGTCTTTTACCAAGTTTCATTGGCAATGGTACATTGGTTTAGGTGCAGATCTGCACGGTACAGGTTTTTCGGCCGCCATCTTGAAAGAACTTTTCGGAGAAGTTTGTTATATACATAAATTTAAAGAGCTTCGAGTAGAAGACTTTGCCCAAGTTTCATATAAATTAGTACAACAGCGAAGCCGCTTTCGCTGTCTAGAGCGAAATAGATTTTTCGAACCTCATTTTCAAAGAAAAGTGCAGATGGTTGAGCCCGAGTTTCGAGGATTCTTCTTGGGTACTCTTTGACATTGATACCAAATCTCAAAAATATCGGTCCGGTAGTCTTGGAAAAAAACGCGGACGGCGTACGCGGGGTAGGAAGGGAGTGGCCTAGCGGGCTAATGTGCACAGCACCGCGGGTTGCCCGATAACCTTATAACCGAAGTTACAGAAGACAAAATAAGTACGAGTTCACGTCCCGGTGCCGGTAGGGGTCTTTTAACTGTGGCATCAATCCCCCGCTCTCACCCTCTAGTCTGGTAAAACCCCGTATAGCATAAAGGCGAGCAAGGGGTAACAAAAAAAAAATTGCTCCGAGCTACATGCCCCTGCCATCTTAACCTCCTTGTCTTCATATCATAATAATAATAATAATGCTTTATTTATTCTGGGACGAGTCCCTTTAGAATAATACAGAGAGACAAAAATGTGGGCTAAGGAGCATCAGAGATACATAAACAAGAATATAGTTTGATTAAACAGTAAAAAAAAGAAATAACTAAAAAAATATTTAGAGAAATTATAAGTTACTTTCTAATTTACATCAGTTAATAATAAAAAATAAAAAATTGAAAATAAACATGAAGTAAAAATAATAAAGAACGATCTAATAATTTATATACATATTTACAGTAGTAACTATTTACAATTTTATGATGAGGACTGGATGGATAAGAAATGATTAAACAGTTGGGATTTAAAGGTAGGAAGGGTTTTGGATTGACGGATGTGGGGAGGGATGGAGTTCCATAGGGATGAGGATCGAATAATAAATGATTTATCGAAAGCAGCGGTTCGGTAGGGCCATTATATATAGATCTGAGGACCGGGAACGGGTATTGCGGGAGTGGACAGAGGATTTAAATTGAAGGAGCTCGGCGATGTATGAAGGACGGCGGGAGTGAATTACTTGGAAGAGGAAGGATGCCAGGAAATACTTACGGCGGTTGGAAGGATAAAGCCACTTCAACTCTTCATAGAAACAGGAAACAGGGGCGTCCCTTGGGATCCCGAAGATGAATCGTACAAAGCAATTTATCAAACGTTTTAGTTTCGCCTCGAGATCCCCAGAGACGCCCCCATATACCATGCAGCAATAGTAGAAATGGGGAAATATTAAAGAAGTGACCAGGAGCCTACGGATTTCAAAAGGAAAAAGGTGTCGCAGGCTATTTAAGTGTTTTAGGGTGGAAAAGGTACGTCGGGAGATATTAGATACATAAGATATTTATTGACCAGTTTTTGTGAGCAGCTTTTTATTGGTCTTTCTCCTCCTAGTGGCCGGCTTCTCCACTCAAGTCGTGAGCATCTGTGGCTCCAGTGCCCTCTTTAAGTTTCCACTGGCTTCTAATACCAGTGACGCGGCTGGAAGAGAAGCACTGGGAACTTTTGAGTCTTGCTTTGTTTTCCACATGTGGAGGACAAGGTTTGGCTCGGAGTTCCCTGGGTGAATGTAGATATTGTATATGAATGTGTATAAGAAGATTACTTGTATTTATTTATGTATATTTCTTTATTATTATTTATATTCGCTTCCTGCTTTTTGTTTTGTTTTTCGTATATATTGTATGAATGAACTCTTGTAGTACTTAAACTTGTTGTCCTTAATGAGGTAGATTGTATTATCGTTAGTAGTAGTAGTCCGTGGTACAGAGCCCTTTTTATCAAATTATTAACATTCACCTAAAATTTCATCTTATTGTAACCTATAAATTTTTTATCTACGAAAATTATCAGAAATAGAGCATTTTCTCATTAAATTAATTAATTTAATGAGGTACTAAGAACTCATAAATACTATCAATAATCATATAAAGTTTTGAAATCTCCAGATTGAAAACGTCCCAAAATCGATAATTTTCATATATAAAAAAGTTATAGATTACGATTAGATGAAGCTATTCACTAAGTTCTTGGTGGGTGTTAATAATTTAATGAAAAGAGGTCTGTACTACGGGCTATAGCGAGCTCTGAGTGTACTTGAATCTTGTAACAATTTTTTTTTTTTTAAATATTTCTTTGTATATTTTTGAGTTTTTACTCTTTTCTGTTTTCCAAAATAATTTTGACTTACCTCTGCGTAGGGAGGCGGTTGGTGGAAGGAGGAGCACCTGCTGTAGTTGGGAGGGTGGTAGAAGGAGTCGGGGGTGGGGGGCTCAGACTGGGGGCGGTTCGGCCGCGATTTGCGCTTCCACAGGCCGCAACCGCAGCCGCACATGACTGCAACCGCAACTGCGCACCTGCAACATCAACATCATCTTTACTACATCATTACATCATTACTACATTCCCTCGGTGATGTATATATATAATATATAAAATAAAAATTACCAAAAATTACTCAATAATTTATATTTTGTATTTTAATAAAATACCATAAATAATATATCAAAAAATCTGGTGTGTCCACTCACACGACTTTCCTACCTATTTCAGAAAAGTGTTTATATCTTTACATATGTCCATGAAGAAACAAAATAGAATTGAACTACATTTATTTTCCTGAAGATTGATCAAATAAAAGATTTGTGTGCGATTTATTTGATAAACTGAAGCAATGAAACCGGCTTAAGGTAGATCAGTGTAAACATTTCAATACTCACTAATATTGCTGATCAAAAACTTTTTGCCGTAGCTTAGTATTGTCAAACAATAATTTCTGTTAAAAGTAGAGGAATTAGTGAAGGTTGTGTGATGCGGACTACAGTAAACTCGTAATCTTTCATTAGAAATTGAATAGCTGTAACTTCGTTAATAGTTGTCCAAAATGAACGATTTTTATATGGCTTTGTAGGTAATTTTATTACCTTTCAAACGATAGGCCTTCAATACTTTCAATACCTAGTATAGGTAGGAAAGTAATAAAATAAGTTTAAAAAATGTGTGAAAAATAGAATAAGCTGTATCATCGCTAATACTGGTTCGATTTCGATGATTTTTTTTTGTTTCGTTGGTAATTTAATTACCTTTCAAAAGTTTTATTATGAATTTCACCGTATAATATATACTTAGGGAGTTAGGCCCCATAACATTTTTCTTTTCTTTATAACTCTTTTTTCTGATTATTTCGGGAATTTAGTCTATATACGAAAATTGAAAGGACGATGATTAGAACATCATAGAAAAGTTTCATCAAAATCGTTAGAGCCGTTTTTCTATCCGCCAGAACATTCTATAGAAAAACATGTTTTTCATTTATTGCGCGCAAGCTATTGCGCATGGATCACCGAATTTCCGTCACAGCCATCAGTTGTCAAAACCCTACAAAATAAAAAAAGAAGCAACAAAATCGGTTCATTAGTTCCCGAGAATATCTTGGAACAGACAGAGAGACAGACCAATGGCTAAAAATGTGTTTTTCGGACTTTTGGGGCTGTGAAACGTATAGATCCGTCGAAAACCGCATGTCGAAAATTTGACCCGATTGCAATACTTTCCTTACCTAGTATAGGTAGGAAAGTAAAAAGATAATGGCAGATAAGCAATGAAGAATATTGCTGACTTTAACCACCAAGGAGCTCATGACATTTTGCTTCAAACGCTCTAAACTTGCAGTATTCAACTAAAAACTCTTATGTACAACTTTTTTTGTTTTTTATTGAATTACCTTATACCTCACCATTTTCACGGTGTTGGTGTTATTCTAGAAGTGAAACCAAACATATTATAACCGGAGTGGGATGTTCATCTGTGGGTCCGCCAGGTAATAAATTTTAACTCGACCAAGCCGGATTCGAACCGGCGCACACCGGGACGGGTAAGGAATCTATCTATCAGTTAAAAATATAGTATTTTTTTTAGAATTCCTAAAAATGGATTAAATATTTTATTCATAGCTTCTGAAAACTTTTTTTTTTATTTATTTAATGAAGTTTACAATTGTCTAAACAATACAACTAGTAAAAATGCACACATTAGAAATAATGACATGAACAGACTTGAAGAGATACTGCCCAGTGGTAACACTCCCTATTCAATTCTAGATGAGAAGATCACGAAGCCATCTTCTTTTCAGACGCCTAGGGGGATTATCAGGAATCGAGGAAGAAGGATGGCTGGATACAAGTGGATTCGGATGGGATTGGAGTTTATCATGAAAGGATAGGTATCTGGCTCGGGCTAAATCAACGGAATATGGAACATTAAGGTCTTTATGAATGGTATTATTTGTGACATAAAGTATTTTACGAAGAAGTTTGGATTGTAAGGAATGGATACGATAGGAATTCGATGGTTTGGTAGAGCCACAAAGCTCATCCCCGTATGTCGTATAGGTCTTATTATGGTTAAGTAGACGAGTCTTTTGTAATTAATTGAAAGTTTAGAGTGTTTGTCTAGTATGCGGATTCCAAGTGAGACGTTTATCCAAGTGGAGTCTTAGGTAACGGATATGTTCAACAGGAACAAGTGGAATATCATTGAAGAATATTGTAGGACAAGAAGATGTAGGTTTACGACGAAGGGTGAAGGTAATTTGATGGGATTTTTTGGAATTTATTTTTATTCTCATCAAACCAGACTGAAACGACAAGAAACCGCTCTACGTTTCCGATTACTTCAGCACTTACTCGACAAACGCTCTAAACTTCCAATTAATTACAAAAGACTCATATACATGACTATAATAAGGCCTATTTGGACTTACGGATTTGAGCTATGGGGTTCCACTAAATCATCGAATTCCTCTCTTATCCAATCCTTACAATCCAAAATCCTACTTTGTTACAAATAAAACAATCCATAATGACCTTAATGTTTCTTTTGTTTCAGATCTGGCCCAACCCAGATACCTATCCTTCCATAATAAACTTCAGAATCATCCCAACCCTCTCGTTTCTAACATTGCTTCCTCTTCAATTCCTGATAACCCTCCGAGGCGTCTGAAAAGAATATGGCCTCGTGATCTCCTAATGTAGACATATCGTTAGAATGCTACCACTGGGTAGTTACTCAGCAATTGTTTTCATGTCATTATATCCATTATGTTCAAATTTACTAGATGTATTTATATAATACAGTTATAAACATCATTAAGAAATAATAATAGAAAAAAAAATGTATTCTTCAGTTATGACACCATTCTTCAAGGCTTGTGATATGTGATTGAAGAGTTTGGGATGCAATCAAAGGGGTCATTATTAACCAATAGGATACAAGTGTCATCGGCATAGGTGGTGATGACCGTGTTGTCTGAATACCTGAAATATTTTCAGTTCGCTTAATGTACATTTTTCACTGTTTTATTGAATAGTATAATTGAAAGAAAAATAATAGATTTAGCCAATATCGCGAGTTTTCCCTTATTCGTCCCAGTGGGCGGCTTCGCTTGACACGATAATGTTAGAAGGAGCAACACTCTAACAAGCTCGGTCATAACGACCTTTGATGTACACTACCATCGTTGGGTCCTTTGGAAATTGAGCTTTTCAGCTCAGCTAAATCATCTAATCCTTCCCGTTTTCAATCATTTCCATACAGAATCTTTAAAGCTCCTTGTATCACAAATAAAGCCAACTATTAAGACCTCGATATTCTCTTTGCCTGGATTTGGCCTGGATTTGATATTTCTCTCTCTAGTTCATAACAGAAAGTCTCTACACATTATGAATGCCACAAAAGACCACAAAGCAGAAGGATGCATCTAATAAACAAGGATACAATGGAGCCTCATTAAGAAAACTAGAAAAAAAAACTCAAGATAGAAAGTGATGGAGAATACTAGAAAAGGTCTGTAATGCCAGCAGAAAGTAATATTCTTAAGCTTTAATATTTTTTTTAAACATTAAGTTCTATTGATAATTGAAATTCGTAAGATGTATCGCAAGCTATATTTTTCCAAATAAAAATAATCTTCATGTCGATAAATTTTTAAAAAGAAAAATCAAAATACGGTATTCTGCCCTGCAAAGTTCTATTGCAAAAGTTGCGGACGCACGTACGTTAGAAGAAAGGAGCAGGTTTTTTTGTTGTTGTTTTTTTCAATGAGAAACAAGTTTATTTGTCCGAGTGGGGTAGGAGTCGGGGGTTGCGGAGTTGATGATGAATCGGTGGTTTTTATTGTGCCAAAGAAGTAGAGAACGAACCGCAAAACAACTTCACTCTCTCGTCCTCCTTCAGTTCGTGTGACACCTAAAGAACTTTTTCACCCTTTCAAGTTCTCCCGAATGACGTACGATGGGGGAATAATTTATACCTAGGTCCCTATCCCCTCACTCCCGCCACTTGTATACTTTTCAGGAATGTTATAGATTCTTCTTCTCTGAGGGAAAAAAATCAGGTGTGGTGCGCGCATCTCACAACGTTCACTTACTTCCATTTCTTTTTTTCTTTTTTTTCGAAGTAGAAATAGGTATTTTCAGTCAGGAGGAAGAGAAAGTAAAAACGCTGCAAATTATTTCACAATGGTTTATTATTTCCAAACAATTATACATCTAAAGTAACATTACCTTCCTAGTTATAAATAAAAATAAATAAAAGGTGATTCCAATTATTGGACTAAACTTTGTTTTTAAGCATTAGTAATATGCTTAAAAAATAGCATTACTTCAGTAACACATTCAAAATTTAAAAATCAAACAAAGAATATAACATTTGGAGTAGAACATATTAAAAAAACTGGAGACCATATCTTTCCTCTTAATTGTCCGATTTTAACGATTTTTTTAGGAAATTCCGTAAACTTTTTGAGTTATTCAGAATTTAATTTTACCATCCCTCATACCTTTTTTTCAGCTTCTTTTCTTTGAAGTATGTTATATAGATAAATTTAAACGGCGTTGAGAAAATGACTTTAGCGAAGTTTCATTGAAATCGGTACATTTGTTTAGGAGCTACAGTTTATCGCAACGCAGGTTTTTCGATCACCATTTTGAAAGTAAAAGGTGGATAGTAATGTCGATGAAGGAGGATCATCCTCGGGTGATCTCTCTGATTTTATATCCGAATTTGAAAAAAAAAATCCCGTAATTTCGAAGAAAATGCGCGGGCGGCGGACGTACAAAAAAAAATTTCGTTTTTCGAATTCTACGCATATCTGAAACGTGAAACATCAAATTTTGAGAGGGGGTTAAGTTTTTGAATTTTTTGGTCGATCACAATGGTTGATTATTGAAAATAATAAACTAAAATTACAGAGGGTACAAAATATTATTTAAAACAATTAATTACCATATGTTTTGTCATAGTCTCCTAATGTATTATATTTATGTTTTTTTAGCACTAACTATTTCCTCTTACGACT